AGTTGAACTAGATAAATTACAGAATTATTAAAGATTGTTTTATAAGTGGATTAATGTCAAAAATGGTTTAAAAATGTCAAGTGTTGTCTCAAAATTATAAAAATTAGGAGTACGATTACGATATGAATGAAGATGTGAAGTGAATTGGAAAGAATTCAAGTGGTAAAATAAAATAAAAACTAGAAAGAACACTATTATGACCAAGGTAAAGAAAGGGATTTGACAAAACGCTTTTAAACATATAATTTAGGTTTCTGCTCATGTATAGCTAAAGCTTCGGCTAGCTATGCATAAGTGAAGAAAACGTAAACTTTTGGATCGATTCGATTTTGCCATGTAGATAACTTTGAAAGATGAATCACGTGGGGCTAAATGACCAGACTCTAACAGGTGATCACAAATAGACGACTTTGCAGTTCTACGTTCGCCTTTCATTAACCAAACCGGATAGTGTTCAGCTACACGTTTTCGGAGACTATGCTTACAACATGTGGTTGAATAATTCTCTTTTGTATGAAAAGTTCCAGATTGTTTGTCTGAATGGACAGAAATTCAACCAGTCCAAAGATGTTGTAAGCACATTATCTTTGACAAGTTGTTCCCCACTTATTATATTACTTTGAAGGAGAAATTTGACGAGATACTTCGATGACAAGGGTTGACAAGGTATTTGGTTATCACACTCCTTATAGGACCACTACGACTACCTTTTTTCAGCCATGCAGGATAGTGTTCTTGCATCCTTTTAGACACGATATGCATCGAATGATCAATACACACGACTCCAAAGGAACAGGTTATTATTGTACAGATAAGAAAAGTTAATTCGTCAGAAAAAAGCCTCTTCTCTGAACTACTTGTTCTATTCTTTTGATCAATGTCTAGAAAACTAAGAAATTTGTCGATTTCTTTATTCAAATCTAATGGCAAAACCAAACTATTGTGGTGATGTGATACAGACAATGTGTGACAATTGAATATTATTCTTGTATATTCCTACTGTTCAATTCGTCATTAACAACAGAACACAATATATCTATTCAAACATCCTATATGATGTTAGAGACAAAATGCATTTCCCATAGTTGTATACTGCATTAACAAAAGACTACTACGTATACTTGAACATTTTATTTCATCTTGTTTGATGTAAACCTAAATCAAATGCTCAGTGACTGATTTAAGAATATAAACTATATATATATATATATATATATATATATATATATATATATATATATATATATATATATATATATATATATATATATAGTGTGCGTAGGTGGCACAGCGGATAGGATGCTGGCCGACCATGCACATGGTCCGGGGTTCGATCCCCGGCCACAGACGCACTCCTTAACCTCGCTAAGCCATAAACAATGCTGGTAAAGAAGAAAGATCGGGCATGAGGCTATCAACCCCATCCTGTAAAAATAATCACCACTATTACAGAAACTTCAAGCCTCTATCTTGAAGCCCTATTTTCCACTGGGAACGTGAAGGAATAGCATATATATATATATATGAACATGGGTTTGATCAATTGAAAATATACCTTGGATACCATGTCTTGCCTTCTGTTGTTACCCTATCACTTTTGAAGAAGAAAAGTTCTTATTGCACCGCATTCTACACTGTCCTTTATTACTCGAAATATTAAACATTTTTCGAATAAAAACTCAACCCTTTTTAGTCCTTCTCCCCACCCCATAACTCAATGCAGCAATTCACGGCAAAGTTAAACTTTAGCACTACTAACGTACAATCATCAATGACTTCGAACGCACCAGTCACGTTGAAGAGGTATTTTTGTGTATAGAATACATGTATTCATGAAAAAATGAACACAAAATGTGTAAAAGTGTTACAGAGGATACCTTTCTTTCACATGTGATGAAATTAGCTCTCAGTTTTAGGTTGAAGTATAAACAGAGTATAATTCCATTGTGAATAAATTTTATTTCGATAAAATCTTACAGTAACATTTACTGGGCAATAAACCGTGCTCGAAACGTCATCAGTAAACACTACTGTATAAAAACTGGGAGACTTTATGAAAACAAATTTTACCCACCACAGATTTCTACTCTACCACAGTGCACAAGTTCTATTCTTATATCAAAAGAGCACTTTAACCACATTCTGTGCATGTAATTGTTTAGGTCTTCTAGCCGCAACAATAACCCTAATCTTTCTGAACTTAGCCCTAACTCAAACCAACCCTAATGTTGGCTTTATCAGGTTAACTAACCTAACCCTAACTTGTCCTTGGCTTAAACTGTAACCTAATCTTCCCCAAACCTAAGCTGAAACTTACTAGATATCCCAGTCAATAGCATAACACTTCGATGGGCATATTTTATTGATGATGGCAATATTATTCGCCAGGTTTCAATATTTCGCCAGTTAGTGCCTCAAGGTCATTGGTGTGGTCGCACTTCATGTGTATTCTGTACAAGTAAATTCGATGGAACATCACTTCACTCACTGAAGTATCTACTCAAAGGGTAATTTAATGAAGTATCTATGTGTCAATTTTTCAAATTACATAGTTCAAGGTAAAAGTTATGTATGTATAAATACCATGGTTTCCTTTGGAAACTAAAACTATTAAGTACACAGAATGTGGTCTGGCTGACATTATTAATGGCAATCAGCTTTGAACTGAGTCCTTTCACATGCACTACTGATCAGCTTGGCCTAGGCGGAGAAAACTCACTGTTCAGTGTTTAAATGACTTTGATATAACAAGTAAACGCTAATGGTTGATGTGAATATTGTTCAGCTACTCATATCAATTAGTAGTATATCTGTGTTTTTGTGTTTTAATTATCAAAATAGAACAAGGTTATACGGTTGCTTGAGATAAATCGGATGTCATTTGGTTGGTAGGGGTAAGCAATGGAATTTAGGATGTGTTTCACCCTACTAGGGACTCATCAGCTTTGCAGCATACTGGCCTAGTAGATAATGCTATGGTGTATGTTGCTTGGTTCGAGGCTGAATGACAATGCAGGTGAAACCAACTGGCTGGTTCCAAATGGAATGAATCTCACATCCTTGATTCGACTGCTGACCACTACCAGCCGAGTAGTAAATGTGTGGGCAAAGTTAAACTTTAAGCACCACTAACTACCAATCAGAGAATGACCTAGAACGCACCAATCACGTTGAAGAGGCATTTTTGTGTATGGAATACATATATTAATGAAATAATGCATAAAACCAGCAGAAAACTGTTACAGAGGATATCTTACTCTTACATATGATAAAAATAGCCCTAAGTCTTAAGTTGGAATATCAACAAAGTATGATTACACTGGGGGTAAAATTTATTTTTATGAAGTCTCATAGTGTGATACAGTAATATTTCCTAAGCAATAAATTGTGCTCGAAACGTGGTCATCAGTAAATAATACTGTATAACATTGTGAGACTTTATCAAAACAAATTTTACCTACAATGGAATTATACTCCACCACACTGCACAAGTACTACTTTTATATCGAAAGAGTAATTTAACCACATTCTATGCATGTAATTATTTACGTTTTCTAACTCCAACAATAACTCTAATCTTTCCTGAACCCAACCCTGACGTGAAGTTATCCCTGTACTATAATTTAACTCAAACCAACCCTAATGTCGCCATTGTTAGGTTAAACTAACCCCAACCTGTCCTTAGCTTAAACCGTAACTTGAGCTTTCTCCAACCTAAGCTGAAACATGCCAGATATCGCATTTAAGAGCATAACACTTCGATGAGCATATTTTATTGATGATGACAATATTATTCGCCAGGTATTCACTAACTTGCCCAGTGAGCGTTTCAAGGTCACTGGTGCGGTCGCGCCCCATTGGTTTTTGGTGGTGCTTAAAGTTAAACTTGGCGCAATTCACGCTTGTAACATTTTTAAATATGTATAAGTATTCATTTGTTTACTTAAAATAATTCTGTTATCACTCTACAGAAGAAGAAACAAGGCATTAAAGACACATACACACAGACACCCATTAAAGCTTTAAAAACCATATTCTGTATTATTTATTCTCTCTTATCAATGGAATATAAATAATAAATTTGTTCGAGAATAAATGCAATCAGAATCTGTCTTCAACAACATGTTTATCACAGACGAATAAAACAATGAAATTGATAAAAATCTTTCTATAGGCCAAGAACACAAATAAAAGGCAACCGATAAATCCACTCATGGAGAAGGATAGCGAAAAATAATTTGACCACCATATATATATATATATATATATATATATATATATATATATATATATATATATATAAATGGTGTTTATTCACAAACAAAACAAAAAAAAGGGTTAAGGACAAAATCATAGTTGACTATGGAAAGAAAAAGTGATAAAAGGTTCAAATGTCATTACAAAATCCCAGATTATGATGCAGGTTCATAAGTGTGAAATATCTATGTATTCTTAAGTTACTCTATAAAATGTTCTATGTTAGAGTGTTCAATTCCTTCGACCAAAATATTTATAGAACTGAATAATAATAGGCAAATTTTTCAAAGATCAATTTCACTTATTTTTAGGGTACACAGTCATACTACTTACAAGTAGATTATCCTGTACTTCCGAAAAAAACTAAGAACCATGCTCATCTCATAATTGAAAAAGGCAGAAAAAGGTGTAAAAATTACTGAGTTATTAGTTGATGAAAAACATACACATATATAATGATTTTTGATAAAAGATTGATTATAGGCGACTGAGAAAAGCTTTCGTGAACAGATTTCTGATAAGAGTAGTAAAGAATAGTTGAATTTATGTGAGTAGTACTAGTGGTAATACAATTTTTCCAGTGCACCAGTATGGGATTAATCATCAAATAGCGAAGCGGTTAAATATGCTTTTATAAGTTACAAGCAAGTGACTCTTTAGGAGAAGAGGTAAACTTATTTTCGGTGAACTTCACTAGGAATGGCGGTGAGAGAATCATATATATATATATATATTCACATTTTTCACTTTGAAGGTTCTTTACACTGATGACAAATAGCCATTTCATCTACATAATTCTCTAGTTGTATTGTTACGTCATGCGCTAAATAGCGTTTTCTTAATAAACGATTTGCTGCTTTCAGTATTTCTTGTGGATTTGTGTTGGGTTCTGTAAATAAAAAAAACATAAAGAAAAATAAGAATTTTATAAAATACAAGATGAAAAGTAGATTGGAGCTGAATTAGAAATTGGTGAATTGTGAAGTTTTGCGTATTTTTCAGCAGTTGACCGTTGGTAATTCAGAGGAGGAATGCCTACCAACCATGCAGGTAATCTGGGGTTGGATCCCCGACAGACGCACTCCTAAACAACGCCTTACCAGTAGTAAGTTTGGAAAAGAATAAAGGTTGAGCATGAGGCAAACACGTGCTACTGAATCTTCGAAGCTCAAGCTTGAGACCCAATCAGAATGCAAAGTGATTGGCTGTGGAAACCAAGAGATATACATAATCATTAATGTTTGATATATATAGCAACAAGATAAAGACTGCAACCATGCGAACAGTAAATCTTTAGGTGATAAGGCATAATTTCAGAACTCAAATAAACACCTACCAACTGCGATTTGACAAGTACTACTTATTGTCACCTCATTACAAACAAAACCACGAAAAGCGTAAAAATTATCCCGTCTGGGTTGCAATGCTCGCCAAAACTAGGAGTAGTCGGTAAGGAAAGAGATTCGCAGATTACAGAAAGGAGTAGTGAAAATAATCTGTTGATGTCTGTGGGCATTTAGAAAGTTGTATTCATTTCTTCTGCGTATTGTTTTTCATGAAAAAAAACTTCAGAAGACGATTTAGGGGAGAAAAATTTGCTTTATCAACGAAGTCATCTTCAAAAGCTGTGCATTAGTATTTATACTTATCAAAAACCTATAGTAGTCTATTATGGGGTAATAGAGGGGAGGGTGACACTTACTCAGAAGTGGTTCCTAGAGATAAAAGAAAAATTACGTAATAGCTAACAACACAGTGGAAGTAAGGGTTTGAAATCCGATAAGATGAAAATTGTTATTTGATGAGAAATGAGGTGGTTGTGTGTCCACTTGACAGGATGAGAAAAACCACGAAAAGTACATGTAAGAGTGATAATAATAATAACAGAAGCGAGCAAGTAGGAAAGAGATTAAGACCACGGTAGAATAAGAGACTGCTCAAACGTTTTCTGCATAGAAAGTTTAAGGTTATATGGACGAATCGCTAGCGCTTCTACTGTATATAAATGCCAAACCTATCACTCCTAGTACCATTTGATCTCACCTTGTACATGGACCTAAAAGACGACTCTGAAGGAGCTGTGCTGACTGAGTTTAACAGGTGCATTGCATTATCCTCTTGATCAGCATGCCAGAGAATGCTTAGACATGCGTCTGAAAATGTGATCTTTGTTCTTAATAATAGTAATAATTGCTTTACTCTGGAAAATGCGTTTATGCAAATTACAAAACTTTTAGCTAGTTGCCCTGCAAAGTATTCACTCCTTGTAGATTAGAATTTTCAAGACTAACGTCAAGTCAATCAGTGCCTTATTTATCATTCAGAGACTTAATGCATGCGTCACGAATGGCATTCCTAAAAGACTGCAAACTTTCATCAACAGCTCTCTTCCCTGACTGCTGAAGATCAGATGGCCACCAGGAGGGATAAACAATGGGGGATTCCATCAAGGAGCTTACCCAGTGCCTACCATTCACTCAAAAAATATGGAAAGGGAAATGCAAATGATTGGATGCACTCTCTGGAGGCTAGCAGAGTGAAAATCAAGTGGGAAGCGAAGAGTTGGACAGACGTCTAAGAGCGTTAAGGAGGAGATTGTATCAGAAGGAGATGAAAGCTTATGAGCAATCGTGGAGACCGGTTCTTAAGGACTACAGAGAGCAGAATGAAATGGTGACGTTTTCCTCAAGCCTTATTTTCTACTCACATCCTAAGGGAGTAATAGTATTACGTATAATATCTGATAGTTGATTATAATCCCCCTGTTACACAGAGTGGTGATATTCTTTCCCCCCAAATTCAACAAAATTTTTTAATTTCAGCAATAATAACATGAAAAGGAGAAACAAAAGACCTTCATAATTCATGAAAGAATGTAAAATTATAGAAGTTCTTGAGAAAAATTAACTATACACCGTTGGTGGATCACGACTAGCAGTAGAATCCAGGATGCGCATTTCGTCCTACTTGGGACTCGTCATGTGGATGTGCCTGCATTCCTCAGTTAGTGATCCTGATATTCCCACGGAGGCTTGAACCCAGTGCTCATACATCGCTAATGCATGTGCAAAAGAAGCCAACATGTCAACCTGAGACCGAGCACATCGATCCAGTCAATCAACGGGAAAATGTAAAACTCAATTCAGTAATTAATATGACCATTTACACATGAGGTGGCTCTTGTGGACCAAGTGGTCCAGTGGATAAACTTTGGCGTTTGAAACTAGGGGCACTAGGCTCGAGCCTCGGTGGGAAGGTCATCACTCACTGGGGAACGCAGGCACATCCAGATGACGATTCCTAGATGGGACGAATTGCTCATTCCTGATTCCAAGGCTATTCACCATCAATTAAATACTAATTACATGCCCAGACATCGTCGAAGCATCTGTAAAAGAAGCCGACAAGTCAACCTGAGACCGAGCACTTCGATCCAATGAATGCACGGGAAAATCTAAAATTCAAACGTTGGGCTAAATCTGGCTTGGATAACACTACATGTATAGCGGTTACATGATCACATATGACGCCATCATGATGAAACCACATACGTTTCAGTCTTCATCCTATAAACTAAGTCATATTATTAAATTATATTCTAGCAGAATCATAAATGTCTCATTTGGAAATATTAAAACTATGGTAAACAGATTATAATTCTTCATCGTTTTTCATCATAATTAATCGCCATGCGTAAAATAAATTGTCGAAAAAATTGAATAAATTTTCAGCTGTCTCAAATTATCTTCAATAAATCTGTGGTAAAAAGGAAAAAAAGTCTCTGCTGCACACTGTAGGAGATATAGTTTGCCTACAGATTAGTGAAAGAATTATTTTTATATGCCTATTCTTGACTAATTTTTTACCTAGGTGAAACTGTTTTTGTACAAGGTTTACTAATTTGAAAAATAATCCCTAATCTGTTAAAAGAAAACGAGTTTTTTCTTACTGTGGCGTGTGCTACTCATAAGACTTATCAGTAGTACATGGAAGGACGTTCATCAGCATAAAAAGACATCAAGTAGTAGGGAGATAGATTTGATAATGTCAAAGAAATCAATTCAAACAGTGTTGAGGAGATACATGGGAGATGTGAAACGAACACAAAGAAACATAATGTGAAGGAAGTGGAGAAACTAGGACAACACAGAAGATCTGTGCAAATGGTAATTTGAAGATAAGGTGTACACAGTTTTGCTATGTAGAGAGATATCATGTCCTAAACACTCCACTACCTAATCTCTCTACTTCCAGCGTTGCATCATGAGCTCAATTAAGCTGGTGTATTTCTTCGTCTATTGCTTTCCCGCCTAGGTTTCTAGAACAACTAATTAAAATCTTTGTTCTTCTGTTTGATCGACTGTTGCTCTGTATGATGAATGGGCAAGACCTAGATATGATGAGAAAGACTTGTAGCACAGGTGGATGATTTTGATGTGGCTGTGTTCTCTGAGCTGGATAGTCAACTTGCAAAGCTCTCATAGCCCTACTAAGCAACATCTTCAGCGCATATTTCAATTTGAATTGAAGTGAGCTTTCAGATTTCTCCACGAGTTCACTGTTAGTCATCTATCCTGGTCAATGGCCTTGAACGTGATTGGTTGTTTTTGTGTGTTTTCACAACTTCTAGGCCACTTGTATTGGAACTGATTGTTTCCTTGACTTGAACTTTCACCCTTTGTGTTTGAGATTTCCTTCTTATCGGTTGGTAAATTTCGTATATCTCGATGTTTCTATTGATTGACGATTCACTGGAATACTAGGCTGGCTTCTAAAAATTCTCTAGCATTCTTGTTGTTTCCTCTGTCTAATATCTGGAAGTTTTCCCATTCGAATTGACGTCCACCGTTGTCTGTATGTAGTGATATGAGGGAGTGCATGTCATGTCTTTTGACGGCCAATCTAGTGTTTTCGCAGTTGTTACAAGCTATTCTGTAGGTGACGTTGGCTTTATCTTCTTTCTTTATTGAGTCTTTTGGTTGATGCAAAGCTGAGTGAATTGATTTTGTTAGTTTGTGTATCATATCCACAGCTACAGGTTTGAAGAGTCGTGCAACGACTTATGAGGTGTCGTTTATATATGGTAGGGAGATTTTCTTAGTGCTTTCCTCGTGGGCTTTTGGTTTGATAGGTTGGCTTGGGGTTGTATATCTTTTGATGAAATTCCGTGGATATCTATTCTTTTGGAAGACGTCCATGAGATATTTTTCTTCAATTTTCCTTAAGGTGAGAGTGCTGCAATGAGTCCTTGCCCTCTTGAATAGTATTTTTGTATGCAATTCTTTTTGTGTGTTATTGGATTGTTGCTGTTGTAATTTAGGATTTGGTCTGTGTGAGTTGATTTCCTATAAATTTGAGTTTCTAATTCCCCTGTGGTTGTTCGCGTGACTAAGACGTCCAAAAACGGGATTTCGTTCTCGGATTCCTGTTCTCTTGTGAATTTGATGTCGTTGAAGACGTTGTTTATTAAGTTGTGAAATTTATCTAACTCGTCTCTTTTGATTATTACAAATGTGTCGTCGACGCCATGTGTCCAAATTTTGGGTTTGAACTTTGGTAGGATTATGTTTTCGGGCGTTTGCATCTCAATGCTTCTGCAATCAAAAGTGATATTGGCGATCCAATGAGTTTTTGACCATTGGAACGATTGTTTGGCGTATTTCTTCTTGTGATTCCTCGTTCAGGTTTGATGATTTGAATAATGATTCAATTGCAGCGAAGAAATCAGTTTTTGAAGCGTCTTCAATGTTGTAGTTTAATCCTTTTTGTAGTAGTCGTTGTTCTATTTTTGATAATGGTTGTTTTGATAGGTTGACTACACTGTCAATAGGTGCATTATCTGATTGTTGTCTTCTAATCTTGGCTAACTTGCTTTTGAAAACTGTCCGATAAGAAGGAAATCTCAAACACAAAGTGTCAAAGTTCAAGTCAAGGAAACAATCAGTTCCAATACAAGTAGCCTAGAAGGTGTGAAAACACACAAAAACAACCAATCACGCTCTAGGTCACCAGGAGAGATGACTAACAGTGAACTCGTGGAGAAATCTGAAAGCTCACTTCAATTCAAATTGAAATATGCGCTGAAGATGTTGCTTAGTAGGGCTATGAGAGCTTTGCAAGTTGACTATCCAGCTCAGAGAACACAACCACATCGAAAATGTGTATGACCTAGAAATCATAGGATATAAACGTTCGACTTAACAGTGCGTCGGTAGGCGAATGATCGAGTACTCTTGATCTGGAATCCAATTCCCCTGTTCAACTTACCGAACAGAAGTTAGCCTAGAAAGAGGGGGGCTTAACAATAAAGCTAGCCAGCCTAACTCATAAGAGCGACACCAACAAAGATGCTACAATGCCAAAAGAAGTCTGAAGCACACTGCCTTGTACTGTGGAAGCTGTCACCATATGCATCGAAAAGCCGAGCTATGTGTTCAAAAGAAGCTAATCTAGCCTTTACAACTACCATGGACCTAGTTTAATATATTCCCTTATCCTTCAGTTTTTTGTTTTGTTTTGTTCTCTGTGTGTAATTTTCTTTCTTTGTCTTCGTTCAATTCATCCCATTTCTCCAGTTATAAAATCAGTTATTTTAAGTTTGTTCCCATGCTCCTCCTGATCACACTTGTAATCCATTGAGAATAACCCCTTCACAATTATTATATTCTAATCGTGTGTAATTTTTTGTTTCTAAGCCTCTTGTAATTCATATCCAGTTGAAAATTATTATCACCTTCCTTACTATGTGGAATTAAACAAATAAATAATAATTGTATCCATGTAAACTAATGTATATAAATCCGATTGTACAACTGCTTTTGAGAATGAAATCGCCAAAAAGATCAACATCTTTGCTGAACGTCTTGTACTTTGACTATGTTTTTTTATTTGAACATGATGTTGTGGTACTCGCAATGAAATTCAACTAACAAAACAGTGTTAAATGATTAAAACGTGGCTACTGCGGCTCATTTACCTAGTAGATAACACCCTGGCATTTGAAGCAACAATAGATGCTCGTCTTCAGCTTTAATTAGAACACCATCATCAGTATCAAATGGAATGAAATCTTCATCCATCAAGTAACATCATGATTGCAGTAATGATTGAATCATATTCGAAAAAATGTTAAATAATTATCTTTTTTATTTTTATTTTTTATACTTACCTATAGCTAAATGTACAGAAATCGCCATTTTGTTTGTTGTTAAACTCCATATGTGTAAATTGTGAGTTTCTTTCACGCCTGGGATATCAATCAACGCATTTTTAACTTCATTAAAATTCAATCCACGTGGAGTAGCTTCCATGAGAACATTTAAAGCATCACGTAGTATATTGATAGTTGTAATCAATACAAGTACAGAAAAGAGGAATGTGCAGATTGGATCGATAATTTTATACGCTGGCTAGAAGAAGATTTTTAAAAAAAGAAATGGTTAATTAGTGATTATTAGTGTAAGCTTGTTCGTCAGTATGAGTTTGAGACTCTTTATCGGTAAGCATCCATGACCCTCAACCCCAAGGATCAAATGCAGCCTTTTCAAGTTGTGAGGTCAGCTCATTAACTTTTCAGCCATTTGGTCATTAATTGAATGATTGGTGGATTCTAACCTCCGTCACCTTGTGATATATAATGCTACTACCAACCAATGCCATTGACGAATATAGACTTTGCCTTACTATGTTGCACTCATTAGCCAAGGCCACTCATTATAACTTCAAAACATACATCGAATAGCCGCCACTGAGCTGGAGATAGATGTTGAGGTCGTGCATTTAGTGGGGATTTTCAGTGGTGAGCTAAACCTTGTAGCTTCAAGGTCCCGAATTTAATTTCTGGTAGGATCGTGGGTATACACTACAAAAGAGTTCCAAACTAGAATCAGACAACTTATCAGTGCTGATCGGCTTTTACTGATCTGTAACCAACGTCAGTTCGTAACGAAATCTAATAAATAAAACTAATCCCAAACTCCCCAAAACTACTAATTAAGAAAAAAATGTTTTCTATTGGTAAGAAACCAAAATGTCGATAATTCAAGAGTACGTAGCAGTTTTCTAAGGAGCATCTTTGTTTTTAATCACTGAAAGTATCCATTGAGTCATGAAGGAAATAAAAACAAATTCAGTGAAGAAAATTTTCTATATCGACGAAATCATCTTCACAGGTGGCTGTACAGTCGTATTTATACTTACCAAAAAAATATATAGTAGTCTATTATTGAGTAATACGGGGTGACATAATTGACATAATTACTAAGAAGTGGCTTTAAAAGTGAAAATTAAAAGTTTTAAATTACGCGGTACTCAACGGGACAAAGATAGAAATTTGATAAGGTTAAAATTGCTAATGCGTGAGAATAAAGGTGGTATTTGAGTGTCAATTTAACAAGTGTGAATAGAGTGTGAAATGTACAGAAGAAGCATATAAGAGTGATAATAGTAAATAGTAAAGTGCACGCTTTCCAAACGCATCTCTGAACATTATCCGGCATGGTTAGCAAAGGGGCAATGTACGACAATTACTGGCTGAATTCTCGAGCATTTGGTCAACTCAGATCACGTAGTTCCACCAGAGTCGTCTATCAACATCATCTACAAAGTGAAGCCAAATGGTATAAAGCGCTTCTGGTTTCGGCTTTCGTGTATGGCGTAGGCGCTGGCAATTCGTCAGAAAAAGTTTGTCCAGTCCCTTATTCTACCTTGTTCATGACCTCTTCACTAGTCGTTCCCTGTAAAAATAAATTTGATTTTTTGTTTTGTTTTTTAATTTTACTTTTAGTTTGCTTTTGCTTTATTAATTAATTCACTATTACCACTCTCATATGCTCCTTCTGCACATTTCACACCCTATTCACACTTGTTAAATTGACACTCAAATACCACCTTTATTCTCACGCATTAGCAATTTTAACCTTATCAAATTTCTATCTTTGTCCCGTTGAGTACCGCGTAATTTAAAATTTTTAATTTTCACTTTTAAAGCCACTTCTTAGTAATTATGTGAATTATGTCACCCCGTATTACTCAATAATAGACCACTATATATTTTTTTGGTAAGTATAAATACGACTGTACAGCCACCTGTGAAGATGATTTCGTCGATAAAGAAAAGTTTCTTCACCGAATTTGTCTTTTATCTTTGCTTTTGTCGGACGACTGTATGAATGTTATTAGAGATTCCCATTTAAAATCTGCATCACTACTGAAGATCTAATACTTATTCCCTACTTTTATCTCAAGACTACTAGAGACAAAACGCCCATCATTTCCTTCTCGTTTTTGTTGGGCGAATTCGCATTCATAAAGATAACCAAAAGGTCTTCTATTTCATTTTGTTTGCCTCTTATCGTTTTTTATGCGTCCAGGATGTCTGCAGATGGATAAAACTTATTAACTGAGGTGTCTTGTCGTAGTCAGCGTGAATCTTTTCAATATTTTAATTGATTCTACTTGTCAAAAATTGAAAATAATAATCAGTCCCTTTATTTATTTTTTATAACGTCATTTTAGAATACATGGACAGTTTGATAACTGTAATGTAACTGTGTAATACATTCTGAACACAATCTGATCACACATTTATTTGTCAAATCAATTCATATGACAATTGAGAAGTCAATTTAAATACACAAAATAATGAGGTATTCAAAAATAAGATGAATAACAATTGACATTACGCTTGACAATATATTCATATAAGGATTGCCTGGAGAGACTAAGGATAATTATTATCAGTCCCTTGAGTTCCGAGTGGGATATACGGCTTCAGCAACACATCTCCACTTTGTTATGTTTTCTGCCATTCTCATCAGCTGAATCCATGATTGACCAAACTCTCTCATCTCTTCTTCACACGATCTCCTCCATGTCACCCTCACACTGAGGATCCAGTCTTCGCTTCTCAACAGGATTCCACTCGAAAACAGCGACCTGGCGTGTGATATCATTCGGCGGCCTCCACAATGTATGCCCTATCCATCTCCACTTCCTCCTACATACTTTTTGAGCGATTGGTTCTTGGTTAGCTTGTTCCATTGAGGAGTTTCTTGTTACTTATTCTTTCTGGCTGGCCATTTGATCTTCAATATGGAGCCAGCCAGTGAAGCCAGCTGTTGATGAAAGTCTGCAACTGGCTGTTGGAAATCCTTTTCGTGACACGCAGTGCAAGTTTCTGATCCGTATAAAAGCACTGACCGACTTCACAATGATGTTTAAGATCCGAATCTTGTTCCTTATGCTGAGTGAGGGTAATAACAAATTTTTTTGAATGACCATCACCCCCAATTTATTTCAGTATACGCCACTGACGGTTTTTGATATTGACACATATTAGTTAGGTGTTTTGCAACAGACAAGACTGATAGTTTGTCATCTGCATTCACAGAGGTTTCACATTTCAGCCTGCCATATATTCCCTCACACTCACATATAAGACACGATTAATCCTCTCCATGTATGTGTATGCCAGTATGCAATACTGTATGTGACATAATCAACCGTGCAAAGTTGAGACCTGCAGCTGAGTACGTTTCTGGCTTTTTCGATCATTATAAGCCTAAATGCATAGTAAGTTTTAAAATCGTAGTATTTATTTCTCTGATGTGAAGTAATTTGATATAGATATCTTTCCTTGGCACGGAATAGACTGTAGGCTACAAAGCTAAGAGATTTTTACACCGGCTCAGAACCTTCAGACAATATCCATTTTCGACAAGTTTAACAGTGAGCATTTCACTCTCATTACCCATTAATATTAGCTATGCAAATCCGCTGAATCCTGTTAAATAAGCGCTTGAATAACCCTCTCTTATATTGTAGTGGAAAAAACTGAAACACTGCTTTGTCTAAGCAAGTTTCCTATAAATTAACTGCTTCACAAAGCCATCTTCTCCAAATCAAAATTATTGCCTAAGAATGCAAGTCGTCTTCCATATTCTGCCTCAAGAGTAAGACTGATTCGATTTTGGTAGTACACAGTTAAGTATTTCGAGTTAGACAAGTCGGATCTTAATTCTCACTGAAAATCACAGTGATATCATCAATATACATCCTACATAAAGCAGCTAAACAATCAAATCGTCAGCCGGATTACAGAAATAGGATCCTACATTTTTACATTTTAGTTCATTTCTACCTTTATGGTTTACTATAAAAATAAAATGAAAATGGTCAAATTAAAAAAAATGTACTTATTTTGACTTTTTCACGAGTTGATCACGGTTTGATATCAGTTAGGGAACGATTGTAAAACAGCATGGAGTACTGAACAACTGTTTCATCCTAGTTTGGGAATCATCAGCAGTACTCGCCCACCACCATGCTTCAAATCCATGACCTTCCGGTTACAAGACAAGTTCGTATACCATTCAGCCACTGAGACCTGATTCAATGGCCAGTCCATAAATTCTAACTTCTACTAACTCATGGTTTAGAGTAACCCCAACCAATGTCGTCGGTGGGACATCCATTCTCACACGTGACATCTGCAGAGACCTCAGTGATAACGACTTCTCACTAGAAATCCAGGAAACCCCATACTTATTGATTGATGTGAGTAGTTGGGTACCGAACACATAGACCAAATAATGCTTGCTAACCAGCCATATTGGGGTAATCTGAACACTGGTAAGTCGTTTCGTTCGTTTTAGGCCGGCTTCATCAGCGGTGTGCCAGGTTTCGATCCGTTTCAGAGTCTTCATTCAGTTCAAACCATTGGGGCTTCAACTATTCACCTGAGTGAACTAGTGGGTAATTTTTTATATCAAGTTGATAATTTTTAGATTATTACCTAATTTCTAATTTAAACAATTTGAAATTATTTCTTTATAAAGAGATAAGCAGTAAATTACCTACCTGAAAATAAATAACCATAGCAGCAACCATAACTCCAATACTCTGTAACAGATCACCGACCACATGAATAAAAGCTGCACGTACAGTAATATTCTGACGATTCATTGCTTTATACCGTTCTTTGTTTACACCATGTTCAACATCAATTGAAGAGGATAAATTGTCAATAGTATTATTATTATTATTCTGCTCTTTGCATATTCCATTGAAGTTAGTTGATTCCGACTTTATAGTGTTTGGTATATCAGTTGAATGTGTATGCCCACTTGATGGTGAACTGTGACTATGTCCATGACCATGGCTATGGCTATGACCGTGACCATGGTCGTGTAATGTTAACAGCATACTGAGATATAATAAAACAAAAACAGAGTAAGTAAAACATGAATTTAAATATCCTAATTTAGGATAAAACGAGTTATCAGTTAAAAGTCCCTTACTGTGTTAGATTAAAAACAAGATGAATTAAGCAAAGAATTTCTCTTCTCCAAGGTAAATTTCCTTAGCAACAGAAAGGAATGTTTCCAAAGATGTATCATTAGAATTGTAAATTGTAGGATAACAATTACGCAATACAGAAAGCGTAAATTGTGTATAAACATCTCCCAGCATGGCTAAGTAAAGATGTAGTGAAAGCTATTAACAGCTCGATATTGGAACATCTCTGGTGCAAACAGGCCACAAAGCCAGCCAGCGTTGAAGAATCCTTCTCTATATTATACCGGGTACCAAATAAATTACCCAAAAACATCGAAGCACCGCAGGCTCCAAACAGCAGAGGCTATTGCGATTCGCCTCAAACAACCAGCGCTCTGTATCCCAAAGAAGCAAGTCCAGCCCCTACTATTGCCCTGGCCCTAATTCTTCTGACATTCAGCTTATTTTGTGTTGATGCGATTCAGTTGTAATCTATCAGTATTTATTGATTTGATGTTATTTAAACATTAATGTCGTTCATAACACTAATTCATTGATTCATTCACTATAATGTATGTATAAATGTAGAGCCTGGTGATGAAGTTATCAAAATGGGTATTCTTTGTTCAATATCCATTCTTTTGAAATAAAATTAAATAAGCAAAATTACATGACAAAATGAAACTAACGGGATGAGTAGAACTCACCTTGTAACGACAAAAGGCAACAGTAAGGCAACAGATTGTTTATTGAGAAAATCAACAGATTTTAAAAAATTATATTTGTAAAAAATCACAGCGAGATTGAAATGATTAATTCCTACATTTCGTTCGGCAATCTGTTCTGAACTTCTTCAGGGAAATTAATCGAAATTAATATCATATCACAGGTTTATATGTAAAAAGGACATCTCTTGTTTTAAAAGCTTTGTCCAATCATGAGGCATGAAACAAGTATCAGCAAGCATAATAAACAAAATTGTATGAACTGTGATCAAAATTTGACCTAAGACTTACAAATATTGGTCTACGTTTGTTAAACAATTTAAACAGAGTGTGAATGTGTGTATGGTTAAAAAGTTGTAAAACAGTCTCCATAAAAAGATATAGACAGTTGGGAATTTTGACCAAGTATTATTGATTAGTGATACTTATCCATTTTTATTTATTAATCAGGATTTCCCATGCATCAGCTAACATCACACCTTCATATCTGTTCAAACTGTTAGTAGCTAGAATTTTATGATTAGATGGATTTTCAAAATTATGGTATTTAGGATTAGAGTTTAGTTAAAGCACTCTGTCGAACTTATTGCTTTGTCTTCTTTCTGAATATTTGTGCGTCGGTGGCACAGTGGTTAGGACTCTTGCCAACGATGCACATGGTCTGAAGTTCGAACCCCTGCCGACGCACACATGATATCTATGGTCGGCCTGCAAAATTTGGGCTACCGATATCCATGCTGAAAATTCCATACTTGTACCAAAAATACCGTGTCGACTCAAGCTGTAATCAAAAATTTAAAAAAATAAATATTGAGCTACTTTATTCGGCCTACTGGAGTTATCAGGTGACTAAACAACTACGGATTTAGGATATGCATTCTGTTGCAGACAACGGTCAGCCTTTTATATATAAACCTCTGTTATGGTAATTTCGATTAATTTCCCTAAAGAAGTTCAGACAAGATTGTCGAGCAAAACGTTGGAATTACTCATTTTAACCTCGCTGAGATTTTACAAATATGATTTTTTACAAATGTCTACTTCTCACTTGACGCCTAAATATTTTAGAACTATTCTGTCAAATCTTGACGACAGTTCATTTGAATTAAATCAACAGATATTTACAGAATTTTATGTACATTATTAGTCATTATTGTTAGCAGAGAAATAACATCTTCTGATTGGTCTTTCCCATGCTCAAGGTTATTCTATACTGCTTGTGGCCGTTTATTAGAAAGTTAAGCCATTTATCTGCGAATCGTGTTTAAACACATCAAGTTTGCTGTAATTGGTTGTTGAGTTCCTCAAGGTTAAGTCTTGTTATTGTTTTTTTTCATGAGCACGATTCAGGACGTAAACGTAAACGTAAACTGTGGTCTAGCAGACGGCTCTCACCACAACCTGAGCATCGCCGTACTGAGATTTCGCTATCCAGATGTTTCATAGTTTTGTAGAAACACCTGACCAACTTTAGACACAAATCGAACCTGACAAGCAACTTCACAATCGTCTACAGAATACGCCCGAATCCTCCTCAAAGGATATTAAGTAAAGTTCTTCAAATCTTAGGAGCTATGAGACTCTACGTGTTAAGTCATAAACTTTGCACATAAAGGAAGTCTGTTCAGTCAATGAACTTAAAATGGACTTATTGTACCTTAACACCGGATACATGTTTTTCTGACTTGAAATTATATTATTTTTTTCCCACCCCCCTTACTATCACATTTCTACTCCTTATTATTATTACTACTCTTCTTAACTTCAGTCTTTTTGAAATTTAGCTGAGTTCTATTCAACTCTGTCTGTCGCATTGCATTATGCAACTTACTTAATTTACAAGAATTTGTTTACAGGGATTTGACTGCTTTCAACTCTAATGACGGACTGGACTATCTAAATTTCCAATCACTATAATGTATTAGTTCTTTTCTATTTCCTATATGGACTAGGGAACAGTTTTAATTTGCTGTAATGCAGAGCACTTGCCGATAGAAATGAGGTAAAAATATCATAGAGATTCAGACATGGCTTCAGATGGAACAGCACAGAATCACATGATATACCGATGAATACAATTTTACTAGAAAAACCTGTACGCCGAGTAGATATTTTGCAAATGAAATACGCTGAAAATGTTGTGCTATGTGATAAAATATTGTCTAGAATAAAGCTGTTATCGTTCTTGTTGATATCAGAAAGGGGACAAGTCAAACTCAGGGAGTACTGAATGGCTATTTCATCCTAGTTTTTTTTGAGGCTCATAGACAGTACGTGCGCAAAGACTTTCGAACCAAAGACCTTTTAGTTACAAGGCAAATTGGCAGATCGACCGATTACTGTCCCGGTCTACTGCTGATGTGTCCCATACTAGGAAAAAATGGCTGCGCAGTACTTCCTTGGTTTTCAGGAGTTCCCTAAGTTATTTAATTTTATTCTAGTTTCTCCCCAGCTAAATGCTTTCTGTATTATGTAACTGTCACCTAAAATTCACAATTTCAACGACATAACTTTGGAGATATTCCCTTTGTTACTGATAAAATTTATATGTATGTCGCTGCAAAATAAATAGGTTTAAATTCATTGATGAAAGTATATCGCCAAAATATACTGGTCCAAATGCCAGCCACTAAGAAAGACATAAGAATGAAACATTTCTGACGAAATATGCCATATATAAAGTGGCGTGAAACCGTGATTATGTAATTTTCTATGTTTCACTCTGAAACCTGCTGACTAGAAATGAAACCATCAAACAACATTTTTAAAACTCAAAATAACTGAGCAAAGAATATCCTTTTCGATAATTTCCTCTTCCGGTTCAACAATTATATGCATATGTCTATATACATAGAATATTCTAGAATAGTAGTCAAAAAGAATATTAAAGTTTTTTTTAAATAATATCGATTTCTTAAGTAAGATCAATGGAAGTACAATTCACTAAACATGCCTAAATTATAACCATAATAATAAGATAATAGCAAATGGAATATCAACTAAAATTAGCGAAATTTCTACAAAAAAGTGGGGATCATTCGAACCTAGATGGCCAAGGTAAGGATAATGTCTCAACTACCTACCTTCGGACAAATAAATTATGCTTCTTAATGTGGATCCTAACGGCCTCAGCAATACTTCGTAAACGAGCTCTTAAGGCAAAGTTAAGATTTGTTGATATGCAGTAAATGACTAAGTGTCCGGTTAACATCAATCTTGTGTTTTGTATTCACAAGATGAGATAGAATAGCACGACGAATAGATTTTGTTTGTCCTTTGCTTAACCATCATGTAGGGTGATGTTCGGAAATTCGATGAGAAACACGCCTAGTTGTATGGCCTATGCAACTGGCTAACTCCACAGGAGCAGTTGATTTGGTGGATACACATGCAAGAGGCGAAATTAGGCTGTTAATCTTTCACTCTCGAACGCAAAATACGGGGGTGTGGTTTTGAAGACACAACATAATTCAGCATCAGGGAATGCTCTTTTTACAGCATTTCTAAGGCGTTGTGCTAGTATCTCGTTGATGTTGTCCCCAAGGAACTGCATTTGTAAGAATAAGGCGTTTTTAGGAACTGTTGATGACTTGGTCTGCTTTGATTTTAGATTCATATTCTTATCAATAAACTTTTCTGGATAACCGTTTTCACTCAGAAATTGTTTGATATTATTAAGTTCCTCATCAAGGCATTCATTCGAGCAGATTGCTCTTGCTCTGTGAACCAAGCACCTTATCAGATTACGTTTGTATTTCAAGGGCACGAAGCTGAATAAATGAGTATACTGACGGTCAGTTGATGTAGTTTTTCCAACATACACATCTTCTTATTGTACCATCCTCATTTCTGGTCATAAGGTCGTCTAGAAATGAAATACTAGGATGAACCTCGTTAAATTTATCCAGGATGTTCTTGGCTTCATCCTCATTTTTCCTAATTAAAAATGTATCATCCATGTATTGACAATGAAATTCGATTTCATCAATAACATCTTTCAAAGGCCCTTTTTCTACTCTCTCAGGGAAAATGTCGACATCGGCTAGAAAGACTTGTTTATCGAAACAAGTAAATTCAGGCGTTTTTTAAGAAATAACTATTTAAGTTTACGAACTAATCTTACTGATAATCTGCCTATCGAAAGATGGAAGTATATAACCGCATTCATCAGTTTTAAGAAGTAATTCACAAAAAAAAAGAATATCATTGAATACAGAAGTAAATAAAGTTATCCTAGAATGATATCGGTCACAAAGAAGTAACCGATGTCATGTATTTAATCCTTAGTGTTGGCATTGAATACTATCAAGGTTAGGCTTGTAAAAGACTTCTTCATACTTCATATTTATGCTAGTCTATTGGCATCTGAAGACCTGCTACAATTGTGTAGAACACTGATCAAGTTATTTGTTCATCTGTCAACAAGTGTTTAAGGAGACGCGATTACTTTTAAACAAGCTAAATTTGAGGGTGTTTCCGAAAAGAATTGTTTATTGATCAAATCATTACCCAGAGGGCCTAGATCACAACTACTTGTAATGCAACATAATCCTCTGGAATTCTTAGATGTGAAATTAACATCACAAGCAATTTCACGAAGCATTTTTTTAACAATTTGACGTGTAGCGAAAACTGGTCAACATTCAGTTTGCGGCAGATCAAAGATATATCTGAAGCAGTGTTAAGATGAAGTCCGACTGGATGATCATTTCAAGATACATCAGTATATCTCAGTTTATTGAAGACCTCTCTATTGTGAGCAATAAAAACTGCCTTGATCTTCTTCCTGAAAATGAACATTGATCCATTAGTGGATCGCTTTCAAAGACAACTATCAAGGTTAGGCTTGTAAAAGCTTTGTGTTCATATTATTGGTATTCTCTGCTTCTTGTATGATTGCATACGACTGTAATGTCACACTTCACAGGATCGACAGCTGGTGGGAGGCTTTCTAATTGTGGCAGGAACTGAATATCTTGAAAGATGGTGGCAGGCCAACTAAACACTGAGTTACAGGATTTCATCATGAGCTGACATCAATTAGAGAACCATTGAAAAACAAGCTAGCAGTACTGGATAGCTGTTTCGTCCTAGTTTTAGACTCTTCATCAGCACGCAACCACTGCCATGGTTCGATTCCAGGACCTTCTGATCACATGACGAGCTCGTAGATCATTAGGCCACTGGGACCCGATCCAATGGCCCATGAATTCTAACTTCTGCCAATTCACAACATAGCGCGACCGCTAGCCAATGTCTTCGGATCGATCTGCCGCACCCTACTGGTCACGACTTCCTACTAGAACCAACACTTGGATGTCGATGAGATGTTCACTGGCGACTTGCCCTATTCAGGTAATTAGTTACCGGGTTCCTAGTAGGAAATCGTGACTAGTAGGGTGCAGCAGGTCAGCTCATGATAATATCCTGTAACCAATCAATCAAATTACTACAAACCAACACTTAAACACTGAGTCTTAGTATGTCTCCTCCTGATCTAGCAACATCATGCAGGGATATGTTCGAATTGAGGATACTTTTCTTATTTTGTTTAACTAAATCTCCCTTGGAAGTTTATCGGTTAGGCGTGTAAAGGTTGCTTTTAACTTCCCATTAATGCTTCTCATATTATTCGAATTGTTCTTCATTAAAGTCGCAGAAAAAATATCTCCGCCAACATTGCCTAAGAGTTTTTTTAATGATTGTTGTTGAAGAGTGAAACTTACTATCAAATAACAAGTGCATGTTAATAAAGTGATCGTATCATAGTCTATCCATCTTTAGGCTTTGAGGTGGTTCAAGGTCACTTGGAAGTAAACATCATCAGGTACCTAACCCTTAGCATGACCTAACAGACAACTCTGTCTCACTGACTGAATAGTCAGCAACCTAGCCTTGTAACCCGAAAGTACTAGGTCTCAGAGAGTCAGCAGTTCAACGGCAGAATGTTCGCTACCCGTGCATATGACTCAAGCCCGATTCTTGACAGATGCACGCTCCTTATACAGGTCAGTAGTAAGCCCAGAAGGGCGGGGGGAAGGCTTAAGGCTAGTAAACTCAACCCCTAAAAACCGGCGTTACTGAAACTTCATAGCTTAAGGCTTGAAGCCTCATGTTCCACTCCTAGTGTAAAAAAAATGAAAAAACCCAGTTAGCGTTGGTGCTGACTGAAGTTCACCAAGCAGACTTGCAGCCCTAAAAGAGTTCTCTCGTGATCTAGAAAAGCAAAGTGATATATCCCTAGCTACAGCATTATGTGACGCAATTCTGAATCTATGAAGCGTTCATCATTTCCATCAAGGTGACAGATACATCTTGCTGACAAGCATCATTAGTCCTGAAAGTGAAATCCAAGGCATTCTGTCAACTGCCTACAACCATCATACATAACCAAGTTACCTAACTTGCTGAATACATTGAAAAACTTGACTGGTAGAGTTATGTCACCTCAAAGACTAAGCATCCGTCAGTGCAGATGATCGGTCTCTCAGCAGCACACAGTCAAGTGAATTCCACATCCTCCATCCACCCATCATCTCCCATGTCGCAAATTCGTTCTATTACCAGTTTGACGCGCTACACACTTGAACCACTCGTCATCTCACACACTGACCAGTGTTTAAGGAGACTCAGGGTAGATTTCTACAATAGTGTCCTCAGTGATGCGAACCCACGAGTGTTCTTTAGCTGACCAGTGAGATGTATGAAGGATTTTTGCAGAAAATATTACGTATATTTACATAAGAAGGCATGAAATTGCAAATAACACTGGTTACTCCTTGGTAACCGACTCAGTGAGCAACAGTACTGTATGGCTTTGTAATGCATACGAAGCTTAAAACTAAACAAAGCCACGCTAGTTACCTCCACGCCTCCCCTCAGGAGACTAACTCGTATATCCCTCGACCTTATCATATCAGTTGTTGATATTTAAAACTTAAATTCAATAAACCTTGACAAGTTCTAACCGGATCATCATAATCATAATAATCAAGATGAAAAGTGTAATGACAAAATTAAAACAAGAATGATCAATGCTAAACATCTTCAACTTACATTACATTTACTGCAACTCCTGTTGCTGATGTTATCAGCATAATTTTTCCATTGATTTCATACTTACTATGTATAATACGCATAATAGCCAAGTAGACTAATATACCAGTAACCAGCCATATTAACAAAACTGAAGCCAATGCACCAACAACCTCTGTACAACAATAATAGTACGAAGAAGAGACAAGAAGGATAAATAACAGAATAGGCAAAATAAAATGAAGACAACTCACTGTCAGCATTTTGTTAATTCCTTGAGTTCTGAATTGAGGGCTTCGAGCTCTCAAGTCTTAGAAGCATAGGCGTTTCTCTTTAAACGGGGCGGAGTGAGCAGCCTTATTCCTAACTTCCTCTCTTTCTTGGGTTGATGACCGGCTAGTAAACTAAACAAGGCTTAGGAGTGCATCGGCTGAGAATCGAACACAGACCTCCCATATGACCGACGACTATTCTACCCTTGAACCACTGAAATGCAAGCACCAACATAATTTTTTGTCTTCAAGTGTTGTGTCATACAGATATGGATGGTTTCATAATAGATTTCGTAAGGAAATGTCATCCTCGCAGCTAATCAGTTCTCCTCATTTTTCACTGTTCTAACCCTTGTCGTTTCTTAACAAGATAAATGCTGAAGTAAGAAATTTATCTTTAAAAACTTCAAGTTTAAGGCGAAATCTTAAAACACAGGGAGTGGTTCCATCTTTGAGAAACATGATACTCAAATAATACAACAATTTATCTGACATAAGTCCACGTCTATCGGTTAAGTTTAGAAAGAACGGAGGGCACCTATGTGAAATAAAAGCTGTCATTATTGATTGATATATACGGGATTCTCAAAGATGAACACGATGCACTGAATATAATGACAACTAAAGTTGATCTAAGTGGAGGTCTCTATGAAACACCCGACCATATAAGATGACCTGACAGAGTTATTATTATTATTATTATATCCATTAATTCCTAGAGGAACATAGGGCTTCAGCCACGCGTCTCCATTGCCTTCGGTTTTCTGTCAACTTTTTCACCCCGCCCCAAGTCTGCCCACATGCTTTCATCTCCTCTTCACATGACCTCCTCCAAGTCACCCTCGCACCAACGACCAACTCGCCGCTTCCCTTTCAGGTTCCACTCGAGCAATGGCTTGTCTAGTGATGTCACTTGATGGGTTCCTCAGAGTACGGCCAATCCACCTCCATTTTTACTGCCTATTTGTTTCACAATCGGTTCCTGGTTGGTTCGCTCATTTCCAGAGATCTCTGTTCCTGATCTTTTCTGGTCGGCCATCTGATCTTGAGTAGTATTGAGCGAAGACAACTGTTAATGAAGGTCTGAAGTTTGTTTGAGATGCTCTTCATGACGCGCAAAGTCTCTGACCCATCGTATAGTAGCACTGACTTCACATTGGAGTTGGAAATCCGGATCTTATTTTTGATGGTGAGTGGCTGTTGACCTCCACAGAGACTTAAGAGTAGTGAAAGCTTGTCTTGCTTTTCCAATTCTGGCTTTGATATCCTCGTCAGTTTCGCCTGTAGTTGCAACGATGGTTCCCAGGTAGGCGAAGGAGGTTGTTTCTTTCAGGTTCCTCCCATTTACACTGGCTGATTGTTGTCTGTTGTTGTTGCTGTTGGTGTTGTGTTGGCCAGGAATCTTCATCACCTGTGTTTTATCTATGTTCACCTTTACTCCTATCTTTGATGCTTCTTCCGCCAACTTGTTGCTTTTCACTTGCATATCTTCCAATGGGTGGGAAATCAGACATATATCATCGGCGAAGTCCAGATCCTCCAAGTTTTGTGTGTAGGTCCATTTTATGCCTGTTTCCTCGCTACCCGTTTTCTGTCGCATTATCCAGTCTACTGCAATCAGGAAAATCACTGGTGATAGTAGACAGCCTTGCCTCACTCCCGTCCTCACTTCGAAGGCTTCCGTAAGTTTCTTGTTGTGGATTACTTGGCATGCAGCATTGTCGTATAACTGTTGGATGAGATGTATAATTGTCAATGGCACCCCGTAGTAGCGAAGTAGTTTCCAAATCACCTCTCGATCGACACTGCGCTTTCGAAGGCCTTTTCAAAGTCGATGAAGTTGAGTGAGGTAGAGAGGTGACTGCCATTCCAAGCTTTGTTCAATGATGATCCGTAGAGTGGCGATTCGATCAATACATGACTTGTTTTGCCTGAATCCAGCTTGTTCCGGTCGAAGTTTTTCATCAATGGCTTGTTTGATTCTCTACTGGATGATGCGGCTTAGTATTTTGCTTGGAATGCACAGGAGCATAATTCCGCGCCAGTTTTTATATTGACTTAAGTCTCCTTTCTTTGGTAGATTGAATAAGTATCCGTTCTTCCAATCCTCAGGTACTTTGCCCTCTTTCCACACCTTCTCCAGCAGTGGCGTCATCAAGTCCACTGTTGTCTCTGGGTCCATTTTCAAAGCTTCTGCTGGGATCCCATCTGGTCCTGCTGCCTTCCCAGCTTTTAGCATCTTGATTGCATTCAGGACTTCTGATTTCGTTGGGGGGTCAATGTTTACTGGTAGTTCTGCTTCCGTTGTTGGTATTGTTGGGCGCGTTGTAGGTGGCGGGTGATTTAGAAGTCTTTTGAAGTGTTCAGCCCAGTGTTTTCTCTGTTCCACCTCTTTGGTGATTGACTTTCCTTTGTCATCCTTCACCGGCTTAATCTGTGTCGAACGTTTGCCCGATAGGTGCCTAGTTGTTTGGTGGAGTGTGGCGAGGTCTCCTTTGCCTACAGTTTGTTCTGCTTTACTTCCCATGGCTTCATAATATTTTCTTTTGTCTTCCCTGGCACTCTTCTTCACTCTTTTGTTCAGTGTATTGTAGCTTGCATTCAACTCCTGTTTTTGTTGCTCGTCGGTGCACTGGATAATCTTTTGTTTCACCATCCTTCTCTCTTCTACTAGTTTCCAAGTGTCCGTAGTGAGCCACTGTTTGTCCATCCCCTTCTTTCTGCCTAGAAATTCCATGCATGTTTGACTCAGCACCGTTTTCAAGTTGTGCCAGTGCTTTTCGAAACCGACCTCTTCGCCAGTGTTGATTTGTGTCTCGACTTTGTCTCTTATGCTTGCAATGAAGATGTCCTTTGTATCTTGGTCCTTCAGCTTTTGAGTGTTGAACTTGGCTTGTGGTCTATCTGCAGCTCCTGTTTCCGTGAAAGCTTTCAATTTGATTTGGATTGTCCCTTGTACGAGATAGTGGTCTGAGCCAACGTCTGCTCCTCTTCTTACTTTTGTGTCCAGTAGGCTGCGCCTCCACTTCCTTGAGCAGCATTGAGATGAAGTCAATTTAGTTTGTGGTTCACCCATCTGGTGACACCCATGTAGCCTTGTGGATATCTTTGTGTTTGTATAGGCTGCCACCAATCACTAGTTCGTTGAAGGCGCAGAAGTCGGCGAAGAGTTCTCCGTTTTCATTCATTTCTCCAAGAGCTTCTCTACCAATGATGAGTTCCCTTCCTGTGTTGTCTGGTCCCAGTATGGCGTTCATGTCAGAGTTAGGGTACGGTTAATATGGGCGAAGTACCTAGAAGTCACTAATATCAACTAGTTGTAACCCCAGGTCACATAAAAAGGAACTAAGCACTGAATAACCATTCTACTCCATTTACAGCCGAACCCAATAACTGTATATTCAGAATGACTCACCTCAAAAAGCTCAATCAGTTCAAACCGCCTAAAATAATTGCCAGCTATTTAAGTGAATTGAAACTACGTAGGAATGAATTTGCTATTTGCACAATGCACACTATGAGCTGAAAATTCACTACAGTTAAGAAACTTCTTACTATATGTGTAAAACGTAGGCACTGTGGTAGCAAGTAATTACATATTAGTTTGTTTATTAAATGTATGATACAGTGAAACTGTATTATTTACTGGATGACGTTTCGAACAAAATTTATTGTTCAAAATAATTTCATCAATTATAATCGCACGACTTCAAAATTTGAATCTTATAGTTTTCTTTGTTCTCTCCTATTTGTCGTCCCTGGGGTAGTAGAATTTTTCAGATATCTGTCTGGACAGGTTTTGAATCATTCCTACTGCATGTATTTGCAGCTGACTAGATAAACAAAGCTTCTGTTATCAATCTCTCCCTCCCTCCACCCTGCTGTTACATTAGATTTTAAAGCTGTCATCTTATCCCATCCTATTGTATGGTTGTGTGTAACTGCATGTAGTGACTGGTATAGCTGAACTATTCTCTAGATTTCTTATCTTATTCGGATCAACTAATCTAGATTTTGCTGGAGTTTTATGCTCGGCTAGTCTGGCTGACTGCCCCTGTTCAACTAGTTTGACTTATGTATTTGACCTGACAATCATTGCAGGCAGGATATTAGATAAATTAAATTGTTTTGTTTTATTGGTTCCACTGGCAGGATCCTTTAACTGACAAAGCCTGTTTCTAATTGAGTTTGTGGTTGGTTTGAATGGCAGCCACTTTTATTCCTGTCTTGTGAAGAATTCTGCGTGAGGTGGTTTCCGAGGTTCCTTACTTGTGTGGAATTACTATTGATGATTTAGACTCCTTATTGTGGGTGTTGTCTTGCACATGTTTGACATGCATATCGTCATCAATATTATTATTGTCACTATCACTATTATCATTACTTATTTTATCTTTACAATTCCCTACATGTTTCCTCACTGGTTTATCAAGGTAATTATTGATTTTCAAGGCTTCTTCTATGTATATCACTTCCTGTCTTAGATTTTCCTTGGTACTACTTAGTTTTTGTGCTCTGTCACTTAAACATTTCACCATCTTTCCCAGTCGTATCAGCTGAACGTTCTAAACCTGATTCATCATAGTGTCATGGGGTTAGACTTCTACCATCTAGAAACCAGCAGAAGACAGCCATCCCAAATTGATTGTTAAACTACTTTGAATCAAATAATTTCCCAAAACGATTTTGAAAATGAATATCAGATCAGCAATGCAGAGTCAAAATATGTTAACCTATCAGCGATAAGTAGGAAAAGGATGGTTACAAATACATCATCCATTTCAATAAATTCACAAGCTACAATTCTTAGGCAAGCAAAATAAGAACAAGGATTAGTGTTCAATAGAAATGTCTTACGCCGTTATTTGCATATGCTTACTGGTACATGGGATAGAGGAAAAAATAAAAACCCCAGATATTCTTAAAACCCAGAAGTGACTAGTGTTATGATGACTTACAGTTGTACACAGACTGAGTTCGTGAACATTTTTCCGTTTCTTTGTGTTCCGAGTGAAACATAGGACTTGAAGCTATGGAGTCCCAGTGGCAGTTTTATTGTTACTGTGCCACCGACGCACAGCTATCAATTATTATACCTAGTGAAAACATCTCAGTATTCCTTGGCGTTCTGAGTGGAACTTAAAGCTTCAGAGTTCAGCTTTGAAGTTTCAATGGCAGTAGTGTTGTGATTTTTACTAGATGCGCCTACATAGCTCATTCCCAAGCTTTCTACTCTACCGCATTTACTACCCATTAGGCGAGTCTATGAGAATTCTGACGGTGAACCGCTGAAGCACTGTAATTCATAGTTTCGTATCGTCGGTGGCACAGTGGTTAGGATTCTCGCCGACCATGCACATGGTCCGGGGTTCGAGCCCACGCCGGCGCACACCTGATATCTGTGGTTGGCCTGCGAATTTCGGGCTACCGATATCCACGCTGAAAATTCCACACTTGTACCAAAAATACGGTGTGGAATCAAGCTGTAATCAAAAATAAATAAATAGTTATCCTGGTATATTATTAAGTCATAAGGAAGGCATTCATTGATTTCATTTCCTTACCTGCACGATGCCAACCAAAGCTCATTTTCTTTGTTGTTGGTCTAGCAGCCAAGAACAAGGCTAACAAACTGATTAGGAAACTGGCAAAATCAGTTAACAGGTGGGCAGCATCTGTCATAATCGCCAAACTATGCGCCAGTGCACCTCCTTTAAGTAAAAGGAAAATTAAAAAAGAATGTATGCATATACACAAATATATATCTCCAAGAAGAAGGGGATAAAATTACGAATTTTGTTAATTACTTATTCATATATATTTATTTAGCAAGTGTAGTGTCATACTGTATGTATACTACTGACTGAATGAATTGAGTAGTTGGACGTCACTCATATCAACCAGTAGCGATTGCTGGCCAGTCATATAAAAGTTATCTACATTCCCAAAGCTATCTTATACACTGTAGGCAGAGTTCATCAAAGAAGTAACCATATCGGCTCAGCTCAAACAGGTGAGCTAGTTCAAACCAACCGAATTCTGACTGGCGAGCTCTAATTGGGCTAATCAGCGGTAATTTAAATATTCTTATGATGATAATTTCAGAACAAAATCTAAGTAAACATGTGTTTTTAGTAACTTTTTAACAGGCTTTACAATGACATGATGAAAAATTAACCATGGACGTTTTTAACCATGTAGATCAACAAAATCTAATTTATTTTGATTGAACACTCGTAACTAGTGTGACGTGTCTGGTCCTTTCTTTGGTGCAGACTTCTTGCCGATTGCCAGCAACTATCTAATATCATCAAATCAATGTACACTATGATGGCGAGCTACCTAGAATGGTGGCCTCTCTGCAAACCTGACTGATAGAATTCAGCCCTACAGGAGGTAAATCGCGAACCCACATAGCTCAGTGGTAACGTGTCTGACTGCAGGCAGCACTTGGTGACACGGATTCGAATCTCAGAAATGACATGAGTTCCTTCAAGGTTGCAGATACGCCTTGCTGACTTGTGAGCGCCGACTATCACGAAACCTGGGTCAAGCAAGCCTTACTGTGTTCGATTACCTCCAACTATCTAAAGTGCGTCGGTGGCACAGTGGTTAGGACTCTCGCCGACCATGCACATGGTCCGGGGTTCGAGCCCGCACCGACGCACACCTGATATCTATGGTTGGCCTGCGAAATTTGGGCTACTGATATCCATGCTGAAAATTCCATACTTGTACCGAAAATACAGTGTGGAATCAAGCTGTAAATAAAAATAAAAATAAAAAATAAAATAAAAAATAAAATAAAATCTAATATAATCAAATAGAATGCGTATACTAGTAGGAGCGGACGGAAAAGCAACTATTGTCACAGTAATTAGATAGTATAATTATCGTGAATTGTGCAGCTAAGATTCGTGTATGGAATTACAGCACATTATGACATTGATAATAAAGTCCGCAGTACGAATAAAGATTATATTTACAGTCATCTGGTTTCGCCGGAAGAGATAACTATTCTAAGCTGGCGATGGAGGCCATGAGGGGGAGAGGGATCGAACAAACCTTTTCTGAACACAGAGATTTTGTTGAGAGGTTTTTATGGCAATTGCCTCAGCTATGTTTATCAGTCGAAGGCGTACAAACACAGGTGGGCTGAGATGGTTCCTTGTATAGAGTTGTAAAGGTTAGATTTTTATCCTTTCTGTGCTCTGTACCCACATTTGTTTGCGGACATGGGACTCCTGATTGATTTTATGACTCCTTTTCCTAACCATGTTGGACAAAGCTAAAGAGGGCAGTTTTGGGCTTGCTCAATCATTCCACCTATACAACTGTCTCCACAAGAACATTTAGTACACAAAATCAGATTCGTAATTAGCAAATAACAAACTTCAAGGTGAAATGCAATTACAGCTTCTTTTGGAAACCAAAATTATTCAAGTTACAATATGTGATCTCCTTGTTTCGATGACTGGTAGTCAAAAAAGCAAGATAAGTAGGCTATTACCGTGTACTACTAACTAAATGAGTACTAAACCCACCCTAGGAACCAGTAATTTACTCACATTTCAATACTGCAAGCCAAAATCGTGTGCTCAACAACAGCAAATACTAACCATGTCAGTGTCTCTTAGCTGCCTATGCCAAAACACCAAACGATTCATGTGCGAAACCTGGAGGTTTTGTACAGGTAGTGGCGAGGTCGCGTACGCTTGCAGTTACGTTTATCTTAGAGAAGATTTCTTCACTAACCGATGTAATTTACAAAAGACTTCAAAGATAATGAGCATTCGATAGACATTTGGTCCTGGTTCGGAGCTCTTCTCTTCAACCAGGAATTGAAATCACAACACAAAATCGGTGTTAACAAAATATTTAAAGTTAGCTATCTTATTCTGACTAATTTAAATTCTTCCTTATAATTTCGTCTTTTACATATAGCTGGAGCCGTCGGAATCCACCTAAAGAAGCCTGACTTATATGTTCAGATGGAGTTCATTCAAATGCTTTGCCTACCTTGCTCATCAGCGTTCTATTTTTAATAGCTGCATAAGATTGATCGATTTCATCGGATATTTACATTCCTTATGATTATGATCACTACACACGTTTTTTGATCTGTAATTGTAATGGTCCTTACAACTTGATATTATTTAAAAACATCAACATTATTAACAACTATTATTCTTATATAACTGTACAGCCAGACGAGGAAGTTATCGAAAAGAACATCTGTCAATGCTAGCAAACACTGAATCGTTCGTTTGTCCGAACTAGTCTCGATTTCGGCGGGAGACAAGAAGGCTGTCACTGTTCAGTCGTGTACTGATTGACAGAAGACTAGAGAAATACAATCAGACGTATTGCTGTATATTATATTAACGTTTATTTACAGATTTTGGTATTGACTAACCATTGTTAATCTGTTTCATTATCGACTGTAGAATAAATAACCGTGTCGCTCAAGCCTTTTCTGTTGTTCTGTGTCTGTTAAAGTGCCTAGCGTTCTGTGTAATAAACTTAGTCTTCTTTAAACAGCGATAGGTCCAGGATCGCGGAGATTTGGATATCTAACAACAGTCTTTGCTCAAACTTCCTTTTAGCTTTTAGTTTATGATGTGAAAAGGTCATTTCTTTCCGATCATGATATTCAGTTAAGAAAATTGTTCATGACTAACAATACTGCTATATAAATGAACTTACTCAACCAGTACATAAATTTGTCGAATATATTTTTGTAATACCATTATTTTATCTGTTCCTTTATACAATTGATACCAAGGGACTGAACATTACACTTTTACAATTAGTAGTGTTCTCTGAGCTGGTTGATTCAGTTGAGGAGCTTTCGTCATCCCCCTTCTGGACAACATCCCCTTTCAGCGCAATTTCTAGCATAAAGAGAACTGATTTAAATTTTTCCCATGAGTGATAGAATTGTGTCTCCCAGTAACCATCTTTACATATGTATTGATCACCTTTTTATTGGCTTGGATTTTAAACTTTCTAGTCACATGATCTACTTTTTATCATTTGGTATATTTGGTCTATATTAACGTGTTTGTTAATCGCATATTCGTTTGAGTATCAGGCTTCTAGGAATTCCCTGGCACTTTTGCTGTTTTCTCTGTCTAAAATTTCGATATTATCCCAATCAAACTGATGTCCATGATTGTCTATATGCATTGGTATAAAAGACTATACATCATGTCTTTTCACAGCTGATTTGTGTTCCTTGATTCTGATTCGAAAGGGACGCCTACTTTGGCCGATGTTATGTCTATCCCCTTGGGACAATGGGTTGAAATTTTAGACAGAGGAAACACCAAAAGTGCCAGGGAATTCCTAGAAGCCTGATACTCAAACGAATATGCGATTAACAAACACGTTAATATAGACCAAATATACCAAATGATAAAAAGTAGATCATGTGACTAGAAAGTTTAAAATCCAAGTCAATAAAAAGATGATCAATACATATGTAAAGATGGTTACTGGGAGACACAATTCTATCACTCATGGGAAAAATTTAAATCAGTTCTCTTTATGCTAGAAATTGCGCTGAAAGGGGATGTTGTCCAGAAGGGGGATGACGAAAGCTCCTCAACTGAATCAACCAGCTCAGAGAACACTACTAACTGCTGGACTATTTAATTCTATTTTAGGGAATATCAACAATCTGCAGGTGACACACACACACGTTAGAAAAGCCGGTGTTCCTCAAGGTGCCGTACCCTCTCCTTTTCTTTCTTCTTTCTTCCTACACGACCTACCTCATTTGAACGAAACTAACTTTGTCAAATATGCAGATGATCTAACTATATCACTGCCTATCACTTCCGAGTCTGACTGTTCCAAACTTAATAGCTTTCTGTTGGACATCACAAGTGGTCTGAGCCAAACGGTCTTATGTTAAATTCTTCCAAATGTCAGGCAGTTAACTTTATTTTCAAGCATCGACGTGATTTAAATGATCTAGTTAGTTCCCATGATGCCTGTAGCATAGATGGCACTGAAATTGAAACCAAACCTTGGAATAGTTCTTTCCTCTGACCTTTCATGGTCATCCCACATCTTATCAATCTCTAAGAAAATGTTTCGTCTTATCTTCCACATTAAAAAGTTAAGACAGTCAAGTATCAACCAACCTTTAGTTCTGCAATTTTTAAACTCCTGTATTTTACCTATTGTACTCTATTGCTCTCCATTAATCTTTCCTGGGCTTCTCAAAAAAGACTATATCATATTACGAAGAGTATTAAATGCTGTAAGTAGGGCTTGTGGTTTTCCACTGCATGAGCTCCCCAATATTATAGTCGAGAGACACATAAATTCCTGTACAAAATGGGCAAAAGCCGTACTGTTAGACCCTCTGAACCCCCCTTTACTGACAACTATCCCCTTGCATCTCATCAGGTAGGACGAGAAGTCAATATAAGAAGTTATATGCTCGCACCACTAAGTACAAAAATTCTACAATACCCTATTTAGCCCGTATTTTAAGTGATGGAGACACTGTTAGACGTGAAGCATATAAGTTAACATGTAATTAGCACATTGAATCGACCCTTTCATTGTTCATCTTTCTGTAATTTTATGGTATCACCCTTTCTATCGTTTAATTATAACTTAGCTATTTTATTTTAGTTTTTATTACTATTATTACTATAATTTTATACTTTATGCATATTTTCTCCGTATTGCATAC